AAATTGAATTAAGATAAAACAATATCAAAGCTTAAGCCATAGCTGTTGAAAAGGTCTGAGACACATCTACATTTCCAAAATTCAGGAAATCCGCTTTGCATAGATGACTGCATTATCTATTTTTATTGCAAAGTGTATCATAATCAGTGTTGCCAGTTACTTTGAAAAAGTAATCTAATTACTGATTGATGCTTTAAAAAGTAACTTAGTTACTTTACAGATTTCTTGATTTTAAAAGTAACTAAGTAAGATTACAAGTTACTTTATTAGTTACATTCAGCAGCTGCCAACAACACCACCGCCGCGTTTAAGGGCAGCATTTCCTCTACAACCTACTGCCCGACCAACTTCTTCAACTCTCCCCAACTTACTGGTTTTGCACCAGTAGTCCAGCTTTTGTTGTTCGGGTGGTGGGGGACCTCCTGCTCTCTGCTTCGTACCACCTGGTGGGACTTGCTCGGTAGGTTTGACTGTGCAGTGCTGCGACTCCAAATGTTTCCTCAAATTTGACGTAGGGTTTTTGTAGCTAGATAGCACTTTGCCGCCACCAGCACAGAGTGTACAACGAACCTTAATAGTGCCATCTTTAGCTGACACAAACTCAAAATAGTGACTGTATTTCCAGCTAGCAAACGCATCTCTCTCCTCCCTCCATTGTTGTTTATGTTTGTGTCTGCGTTGCCTACACGTGAACTGTCCTCAAGCTGAAAACGTGACTTGTCGCATAGGCTACGTGACTCCACTCCCAGAGACGCAAGAAGAAAGCAAATATATTTTTATTAAGGAAAATGACAAACATAGTAACGCACAGTGACTTGGATAAGTAACTTTAATCTGATCACCAGTTTGGAAATAGTAATGCGTTAGATCACTCGTTACTGAAAACAGTGGTCAGATTGGTCCTAATATACACTAAAGCTACATTCACAGTTTATAATGCTCGCCCAGCTCTGTTCTACTTAGCTGATCATCACACTGGTCTCTTTCCCTCTCAACTAGCTGCTAGCATTAGCCACTAGCCTACTCAATAGCATTAGCCTACGAACAAGACTTTCTGTCCCTAACTTGCAAGCTGAAGTTTAAAAGGCATTTTCAAGAAAGCATTTTTAAAAATGATCCCAGATGCTTAGCCCGGCGGCGAGTCAACTTAAACCTGGCGGAAACCCTGATATGCAATGCTAACCCAACTTTTAACTTTACTGGCTAGCTTTGAAAAGCTATTTCCACAAGACGTAGTGAGGTAGCTGCTCCTTAAACATGCAATATGCATCTACCTAATAATAGGTAGAATAGAATAGAAATGCCCCAAGAGGGCAGTTAAGTGTTTTTTCCACCCAAGAGGGCAATTTAGTGTATTTTGCCAACCAGGAGAGCACTTTAGCGAGTTTTGGCTCCCAAGAGGCCACTTTAGCACGCGTTTTTCAACAATTGGGCCCCTGTGCACGCTACTGCAAACGTGTACTTGATGAAGTAAAACTGAAAGAAGAAGATATACTTTATTAATCCCCAATGTTATGTTCATTATCCAATATGTTTTTGGTTTGCCAGTATTTCTTTATTTTTCTGCATGTGAAACTCCCACAGGTACTGAATTATCAGTAATTTGATCCATCCTTAATTTTATTTCATAAAGTTAAATTGAGGTTGTCCAATTTGAAAAGTTCTTAAAAGCAGCAGGGAAATGCTGGCTTCTTTTCTGGCATTTGGAGGACAGAACAAAATGTATCCTTTGCAGACCTTTAGTATCCCACAATCCATATATAGATTTGATGTGATTAACTGCACTGAAACATGTTATTACTGTAAATTAATCTGAAGATTCACCTGTCTATTCTTGTGGCATTATGACAATACTTGATTAGATAAAATGTTTAAGGTTATGATGGCTAGTTGGGAGCTTTGCAAGGGAGGATTCACACAGTGAGTATATTGATAAAGGCATTTAAGAGTGATCTACAAACCATTAGTGCAAACCCTTTTGGTTGATAAGGAAAATTCAATGCATCACTGGGTCACTGAAGATAATTGTAGGCTACATACATTTAGATTCGATGTGAGAGCAATTGAAACTTTTACTGTTTTAGATAAAGAGCTATGGATTTGAAATGTTTTGAGAATAATAATTTTCATTTGACGTATAAAAAAAAATTGTGTCAAAGCAGCAGACAAACACTAGTCACTGGATCACTAAATAAGTCAATCTGAAGTGTAAATAAGCTAGGTCATTATACCCCATTATTTGTTCTTGTTATTCAGTATGATATATTGTAAATCACAAGGTATGGCATATAATTGTTACTTATATGGACATATCGAACTGTGCCATAAGGCTTACTTTACCATAGTTATCCCTGTGTCAGCCTTTTGGAAACTCTGGTGGCTGCGAAATGTGTGATGGACTCCATTGAAGGCGACCCGCAGCATCTGTAGATATGAACAGCTAATTCTAAGGTAACAAAAATGATTCCTATATTCAGATGATTAAACACTAATTAAAACAAACTATGAATATTATTTTCAATTTCTGCCAATAAATGCTCCTCTTTTAAGATGTTGCTTTCTCAAATGTAAATTTTTCAACATACACAAAAAAAACTTACCGTGGTGGCAGCAGTTTTATAAGCTGATTAATCAAAACCTAAATAAAAACCAGAAATATCTGCATGGCTACATTCCTGGAGGCACATACCTTGTTAGGCATATCTTATCTGTCTTGTCCATTTCGTGCATAAAGTGTTGGCAGGCACATACCTGTTATGCTAAAGGTGTGCCGACTTATCTGTGCAAATACCTCCTAGCCACATGCAGTATCCAAACATGTCTTTGTTCAGGCAACATCACATATTATTCATTTTGGTCTTTTATAAATACTGGGAATCTTTTACGTGTGTCACCACTCACCTACATGTTTTATAGAGTAAGACAAAAATAACCAACAATCCATCTCAGGTCCATCAAGAATCAGTGTGTACAAGAATGTTTTTTGGCATCCTTTATCCTGCAAGTAGACAAAAAACATTCATAAGTCAAATAAACTATAGACTTTGAATCTGTTTTTAAACAGTATCTCATCTGACATATCATTGGCCTCATTCACATACAGTGCGTATACACACTTAAACAGTGTGTTGGGCCTTGCTTAAGCGTAGTAATGACAAACACTGCCTTTCACTTTCCCTAGCCAGTTAATGCCTGTGATCACCTTGTTTCTCTATTAAATATAAATAAAATGGGCTAAAAGAGGACCAAGTGCTGGATCTGAGATTGGATAGGACTGGTTTTGTCATGGCCATGGCTGTATCCTTGCCTATTCCTTTTGTTTCTCCCTTCCCTCTGTCTCCTGTGTGTTGTGGATGTGGTTTTCCCTACTACCTTCCAGCTCTGCTCCACATCTATCTGCAATCAACTCAGCAACTCTCCCAGTCTGCTCACTTGCCTCCAATCAAACAGTATGTTTACTCTGGTTCTCCAGCTACTCAGTGCCTGATCGTCAGTCTACAACAGTGGAGTATACTCGTCTAGTACCATTGTCGCAGATTGCGATTTTTTTTGTAGTTTTACAAATAGTTTCTTGCATGCAGGTTGGTTCTTCTTTAATGTTGCCCAGATATGGTGTAAGAATCACAATTGTCAGAGCTTGATGATTGATTATTTGCCATACTGCACAGTTAAAAAAAAGAAATCAGTTTCTGTGGTATTGAAATGAATGCTTTCATCAAGCTTCCAGCCTTACTGCTAACTGCATAAACAAGTGACTTTATGTCGCTCACACCAACGATACCAATGTGGTTTCCTGGGAGGAAATTATTTTATTTTTTTCAAGAGCTCATTAATACAAAACTAAAACGCAGTATAGACTGTTGGAATGTCTGCCTTTTACCCTTTATTGATTTACCCAGTTTAAATTGTGTCATTCTCAGATTTATTTACCTCTTTTATCTGCCTTTATCATTTCTATCATATAACCAGAACTTCCAAAAGTTCATAGTCTCAAAAGCGTAAGTGTAAACGGGTCTTTGCCAGGAAATCTTGCAACTGGGGACCAGTTTTCAAGCTGATCCAGTCTCTGGAGCCCCCTACTGGTTAAAATTGAGATCTCTTTAGGCACAAAGTTGTCTTTGCATTTCTGTTTCTAAGGTGCCCTTCTTATTGTTCCTCCACTTGAATGTTAGAGCTTCCCTGTGCAGAATGATGTATGTACAGAGTTTAACTCTTCAAGGCAGATTTCACTTTCATCTGCTGAAGTAAGAATGTTTTTCTTTATTATCCCTAGTCTGAGTTTAAAGCGTAATTAAATGAAAGTGAATGAGAATATAGCAGGATACAGCACATGCTGCAGGGGCAGCAAATCCTCCTGTTAATACCCAAAAACAATCTTATTTTGTTTTCTTAAAATAATGAACAAACCACATTTTACAAGAGATGGAAGAATTGTCTTCATTAATTATAAAAATCAGAGTTACAAAAATGATTTTACCTTAATTCTTACTGATACATATCATAAAGGAACTCAAACTGTGTCTTATATTTAGATACATTTATTGATTATAATTCAAGAAAAAAAAGTGCTTAAAGTGAAATTAGTAAAAAAAAAAGAGATAGGTTTGATTGTAAAATTAAAACATTACAAATATAACACTTTGCAAGGACAGGTAAAGCAGGTACCCCCACTGACACCACAGCTATAGAAAACTGGCTCCAGTTTCTGAAACAAAAACATTTGGCATCTCTGTGTTCTAAGACAACAAATGTTTGTATATGGGAAAACATTTATTGAATCATTTTAAAATGCAACCCACTGCAGTTCCAAGGTAAAGTAGTTTTTCACATACAGAATATAAATTAAATCAAACAAAAACATACAGCCCATGTGATTCAGCTCAAATGTGGACTCAATAAATCGTCTGTCATAACAAATAGAGCTAATATTAATCAAAGATAGACTTATGTTTGATGCTGATCAGTGCTTTACTGCTATTGGCAAGACTAAATGTTCATACCTGGTTTATTTACATTAATTACAGTTACAAAAAAGTTGAGTTGCCACAGATATAGTGACCACTATCTGATATTCCTCAGATAGAAATCTAATTTAGTCTCTGTGTTCCTTCATCTCCCTCTCTGGAAAAAAAATGCATCTACAGGACAGCTCGTTTTTTTTCTCTGATGTCAGCAGAGACGGTAAAGTTGGTCACCTTACCCAGGTCAGGTAAAGCAGGGATTACTAAATGATACCTATATACATTATGTTCTGCAACGGGCAAAGGGTTCTTGAATACAGTCAAGATAGAAACACACAGTCCATATATCAGGTCAATCAATATATGTCATATAAATCACAGATCATTAAGAAACCCTCAAAGATACATTGTTACATGTTTGATGCTCAACAGTGAGCTATAAGCAGAGTTGCATTTTCACACATGGTTCAATCATATCAAATTATCTCATATCTGATCATAGTGTTAAAGTTGGCAAAAAGGCACACAGTAATCTCTCCTCACAGAGTACTACTGTATTACACAATACTTTTCTTTCAGTTTCAGTTTTTCGTCCTCATCCACTTCATCAGATGGAATTTCCATTTCTGGTTCTCTTTGGTTTGGTTTGGTTCTCTGGTTCTTCTTTGTCTCCATCTCCGGATAAAATGGCGTCTCCATGATGATTTGGTTTTTCCCTGATCTCACCAGACCTTCGCTCAGGGAGTCATGAATCTTCTGCCATGAGTCTATCTCTGAGCTCCAGAGTGCAGCTCTGGCTCTGATGAACTGTGAGAATTCAGTCTCACTGCCTTTGGACAGACTGATGCTGTCCTTACAGATGAAGAAGATATCCATCCCAAGGAAAAGAGCATTGGCTGCGATGAGGCCTACCCTGGCTGACTTGGAGAGGGCAAGAGGCCCTTTGAGTGCTGCCTGACCGATATCTGGGATGTCTGAGGCCACCCTCGGAACGTTACGTAATGCTTTACCTTCCTGGACCACCACCTTGCCAGCACTTGTAAGCAGCTCCTCACTTTTCAACATCTTAACAGCAGAGCCCAAATCAACAAGTGAATCAATGCCTTTTCCAACAACACCAGCTTTACAAAGCACCTTGCCAACTCCCACAGCCACATCTATCGGGTTTGTTTCCCTTTTGGTCACCTCCTCCAGACAATCCTGGAGAATCTGCACATCCTCCATGAAGCTCTTGAAGACTTCACTGGCTTTCTTTTGCTGTGTACGGTTTACTCCAATCTCTGTGGCAGTGGTAACAAGACTGTTGACTCCGCTGGTAACTCCCAGCCCTACCCCAGTCATCGTCAGAGCTAGAGACAATCCTGCTGTTACAGGGATTAATGCCAAACCAACAATGGAAAGCACACCTCCAACTGCCCCCACTGAGCTGCCTGCCACGCTGGAGATCTTTGCCCCCTTATTCATTCTGTCTAGCTGAACAGCACTCTCTTCCAGGTCTTTTAGAAACTCCAGCATCCTGGGCTTTCGCTCTGTGAACTCATCGATGAAGCCAGAACATGATTCCTCCTGGAACAAGAACACCATCCTGAAGTTTTGGTTCATCCTGATATGGAGAAAAGAAAATTAAGAAAGAATGAATAAGATGAGATATCCAAAAGATGAGCAGGTTACTTAAAAAATCCGTTTTGGAACAAACACTAGGATGCTATAAGGAGCAATAACATACACATAAAACAGAGATAAGCCAATGTGGCAACAATATTTCATGAAATAAAATAGATTACTAATTATACTGAGGTCTTAATTCCTGCTGGGAAAGCCCAATGCCACAAATTTAATTTAGTTTCAGTACATTTAAACAAGACTAAGAGTCTATGCTTTGAGTTAAATGCTAACATCAGCATGCCAACATGTTAACAATAACAATGTTAACATACTGATTCTAGGCAGGAATGATTTTTACCATGGTCATCATCTTGGCTTAATGTCAGAATGAGAATGAGAATGAGAATTATGTTTATTGCCAAGTAGGTTTTTACACCTACGAGGAATGTGTCCTGGTGCATTGGTGCATAAAATATACAAATCACACAAAAATCACACAGAAAAATAAAGAGATTTCAAAATATAAATAAACAAAGATAAGAAAGATGTGCTTACCTGATATCATCAAGCTGATTAATGTGATACAACATCCTTTGTATGTCATCTTCGGACAAATCCACATCGAGGTCTACCACAGTTTTCATAATCATCTTCAGGTCAAACTCACAGAAGGAGCTGTGGAAGACACAGTTACATTTACTTCCTAAAATAGATGTTTTTATTTTGCAAAATGTGAATATTATTTTGAAAAAGTTTCAGTTTACCTTTTCTCCAGCTTCTCACAGATTTTCTGGGTGGTCTGAATGTATTTGTCCAGCTGATATGCTAGCACTTCCACATTCTGAAGTCTGGGAAGGAAGAAGACATTTGCATCTCTTTTAAACTCGAGGAGGAGAGGGCAGATTAGCCGTGCAGCAGTGATGACAACCTGAACATTTTCAAGGCTGATCCCTTCTGGTAGATGCAACACCTGGTTCTCTGTGAACACATGAAGTGAGGTGACTGCCAGCTTCTCCACTGAATCCAGGAAGCAGTCAAGCTTCTCCAGGCCTCCCAGAGTGTCCTTCAGCACAGCAGCCAACTCCTTCTCCAGCTCTGCGTGCCTGCTGTCTGCAGTCACCTGGGTCACCTTGCTCTTTATATATTCCCAAAAGGCTTTTCCTTTGGTCTCTGACTTGGTTACATGGTCAATGTTCAGGTCAATTTCGTCAGCCCTGTCCTTGATGTCTCTCATCATGTCCAACTCTGACTCCCTCCCAATCATCCATTTAGAGATCCTCTCACAGAATCCTCTCACAGAGTCAATGTAGATTAGAGTATCTGCAGTGTAGCGGCACAAGGCCTCCTGTAGCTCCTTTCTGCAAGACAAGACGACATCCAGTTTGTGAGATTTGAAAACATATTCTGGACGATATTATGTCTCACAGTTAGTCTCACATTGCAAGACTGAAAAACTGAAACTGAACTGAACTGACTACAAAAAGACATAAATCAACTATGAAGAGACACAAAATGACTACAGAGAAATTCATGAACATCAAAAGAAGAAACAAAATGATTGTGGAGGTACAAAGAGACAAAAAATTAGCACAAAGAGAAACAAAACCCACAAAAAGTAATTGTCCCAGTGTTTGCCCATACCTTTTATGCATCTGGTACACATTTTGTGTTCACTTTTGGCTCATTCCAGACCAAAAAGGTTGCACAAAAACGACATAAATACTGTATATAAGATTAACTAATTGTCACCCATGGTCGACTGTATTTATAAACAAATGATACATTAAGGATTCAAACCACAAAGCCCACCCACATATGTAGGCCTATTACATACATCAGTAGTTCCCAACCTGGGGGTCAGAATCCCTCCAAGACGTCACAAGAGAGAGGAGTTGTGAGATGATTGACAGGATGGAAGAGCAGTAAAAATACTTTAAATACTGAATTTCTTTTTTTTTTTAATCATCTAATCTTTGCTGTTTGACTTGTAGAATAATGATACAAATGGTATGAAATTATTCAGATTACTTTATTGTCTTTTCTATTTACATAAAATAGAATATGGAACATAAAATGGAATAAATTCTGATCTATCTATCTTCTAGTAATTTCCAACTAGTCACATTGCTTTGTATAAGGATCCACAGGCCACAAAGGTTTGGAACAATGGTTCAATTCATGGTCATATGAGTTTTAGTAATCGTTGCGTTTACAAGATCTGACCAGCAGATGTCACCAGAGCACACATGGTGTCTCAAACTGAGTAGATCAACAGGTTTAATGTGTCCAATGCTCAATAAATACTGTTCCACATATTATTTGGGCCCAATAGTTTGTAATATAATAGAGTTTAAACTGAAATTTTATTTTTTACAAATATGATTCACGATGAATCATTCTATTTACTGACATAACCAAAGCTAAGAGCTGCTTATATCTCTTTTTGTTGCCATTGTTTTTAAGATACATTAATTTATTAAGTGTGCACCGAGGGTTACAAAACACATTAAAAGGTCGGATTCATTGAATATCATATTATTAAGTTATTGTGTTCTTTATTGGAGTTTCTGACATCCCAATATCTGTCCACTACCTTATTTAACACTTTACAGTTACTATTAGCTTTTCTCTCATTTTCTGTGCAGCCCAAAGGTTCAAACTCCTTACCTGGCTGTAGACATGTTTCCTCCTCTCGGTATGTTGTCTTCAGATCCTTATTTGGGCTTCATCGTTCACCTGCGTGGTTAGAATAGAAATAAATCCAATCACGATTGGAAATCTGTTTTTTTTTATTGTGGCAAAGATCATCAAAACATGTTTTTGCCTGAATCTGCTGATATACCTCAATCAACAACTGTGGACAAAACCTCGGTAGGTAAGTTTGCACAAGTGTGTTTGCTTTCGTTTCCCTTTCTCCACGTCACCGAACACACCCATTCCTGTGCTCAACTCTGTGAGTTTTATCAACGGAGTTTTATAACAGCACAGTATCGACCGCGCCTTTGCTCGTTTCCTGGTGCTCCCTTCAACGACTGTCGGAAATATAGGTGTTGATGGTGACTGATGGGGTCATTTCTGTGTGTGTGTGTGTGTGTGTGTGTGTGTGTGTGTGTGTGTGTGTGTGTTTTTGTTTTTTTCTCCCCTTCTTTTTGGGACATTCAAACTCAAACTGCATCTGTCAGCTGAGGCTGCCCTCTATGTTTGTTTTGGTACAAGAACACGTGTTTGGCGTTCTCGCGTGATTTGCGCCAGAGCTCGCAGTGGTCAGCAGTTCAGCAGTGTATTCAGTCTAAGGTTTATGCTCCTAAAGAGTAAAAAATATGTTGGCCTACAAGTTGGTGGAAACAATCTTATTAACGTAAACTCATTGTATAATGATTCTTTTTTAAGTTATTTACTTTTTTATTAATTTCTCAAGTGTGCTGTGACACTGGCAGAAAACATATAAGTGATTGTGGGAAAGCTGTACTGCTACTCCTTTTACCTAAAGAGTTAAGACCTTAAGACCATTGTGAATGCAATGTACAACTTATTTCACGTCCATCTCTTATTTTTTTATCCATTTGATTTGTGTAACTGGGGCATCTCTGGCTAGAAAAGACACTTTAATGTTAATGTTTAATAAAGAATTTCACTTATCAATCAGGACAGCTAAAAACAAACAAACATAGACTTTGGTCAACTGGTCACCAACACAGAATCAATTAGATCCTAACCACTTCTGATGAAAAACACAGACATACAACCTAAATTGTCTGGTTTGGTCAACCTCGGTTCAATAATAAATACATAAAACATACAAACTTGCTCACATTGCTCATTAAAATCAGTAAACAGAAATAATTACCATCATCATTGTATATCAGTGTCCGTATGCTTGACATGCCTGAGACAGACAGGGGTTGTCTTTCTTTGACGCTGGATGAGAGCAACTGTTGCACCAAGCCACTCTGTCTCTGATAACAAAGCACAGAAAGGCATGCTGCTGGTGGAGATGGTCAGTTAGAGTTCTGGTAAAGCATGAGCTTTTCCTCAGTTGCAGAGTCTTCATAGGGCATCAATCGCTCGCCTAGTCAGACCACTCAAAACTTTATTTTCTTCAATCTGGAAGAAGACAAAATAAAAACAGAGTGCTATGTCATGTTACCAGGTAGTTTATAAAATGATTGGCAGCTAATTACTACATAGTTAATAGAGTGATAACAGCTGGATAATGATGTTACAAAAAGTAAAGCACAAGCTACTGTGGTACACCTGACCAAACATCGCAGAAGTTATAAGGAAAGCCTTGTCATTGATTAACTGAATATGTATGTATGTATTGTTTTCTACAATAGTATGTTATTGTCTAGGCCACAGCTGTGTAATCACACATAGGCTTCCATGTTGAAGCACATCAGTAGTGCACTTAAAGAGGGCTGTAATTACCACATTCTTACATAAACATGCTGAACTCTTACCTGAGTTTATAGAACAAAATTAGCTTGATGATGTAGCTCCTGTGACATTATTACAATATTCAGGACATGTAAGCATTCACTTTAGTTGCTGATTGAATGGTTTTGGTTTCCCTTTAGATTTAGGTAACCTTAGCTGACCTTTACTCTGGCACCACCTGCAGGACAAACCTGACAAAACAAACATTTCTTGCCCACAAAATGTAAAACACAAAGACAAGAAAAATGTTTTGTTTGCCTGATACTTGGTGTGCGTCCCGTTACTAATATTACCACTACTAATTACTAGATGGTTTATATTGTCTTCAGAAAATGCATTTCATGCCTATGTACCAATGCTGAGTCCTCGCTGCAGCAGCCATGGGTTCGAGTCCTACCTGTGGCCCTTTGCTGCTTGTCATTCCCTCTCTCTGATGACAGAGAGAGAGAAGCACAGGAAGTAATGCCAGGTCATCCCCTCTGTCCTCCCTTTCCTCTCAATCTTCAGCTGTCCAATCCAATAAAGGCAACCCCTCCCCCAATATATATATATAATAATAATTTAAAAAAAGAATACGAATGTCAGAGCTGGAAGCTGTTAACTGCTACTTCTGGAGTTATTGAGAATGATGAAAGCTGAAATACATTGATGAAAGAAATTGCTGAAGCAATACTGACCATAGCTTAATAATAACAGATATCAACGGAAATGCATTGAGATTTTATAAGAAATAGGGGACCCAGTTGAGTGTATGTGGGAAATTTGTGTGTACAAGAGCAGCAACATTGAACATTTGGTAGGAAAAATATGAAAAATCTTTCTAAAGTAAAAAAAAAATTCTATGTTGAAAAATGTGGAAGGAGTTGAGTACCAAAGAAATACAGCACAAGTGTAATAGTAATTTTGTGCGTAAAAGAATATAGGTTGGTTGTGAATTCCTCCAGCATTCACACCCAAAGTGGGGAACCAAAGCATAAAACTCCAAGGTCTAACCATATTAAAGCCATAAAAACTGAATACTAAAACAGGGAGGCGTGAGATAGGAAAAGTAGGAAGTGTGATTTAATGTTTTAATACTTTTATTTTCCTTCCATTTCAATTTAACTACAAGCCTTAGTTCATTTCTTTTATTTTTGTCTCAATTCAAAAAGATAGTGTCTAAAAATATGGGATACGATGCATCTTTTTTCTTTTTTCCCCCCCAAACTTCAAAGTCAAACAGATTGTACTTGATACCAACTCTGTACATATTGTATCAATAACAATAGTGCATCTGCCATAGTGCAAAGCTCAAATGAACCAAACTGATCTCATACACACATACAGTTTGAGACAAGCTGGCTCCTGGACCCCAGACTAGATTTCTTTAATCTCATTTACAGCGGGGATCATTACAAAGCCTCTGGGCTGAGGCGTTCACCCAGGGCTCAGGGCTATCAACAAATGTACAAAAGATTCATGACATTTAAGTGATAGCTGGAATGATAAGAGAGATGCGAGACAGCTAGCTTAGCTGTCACGCCACATTTAAAGATGCATGGACAGCGTTGACTACAGGAGAGATTTGCAGACGCAGGTTGTGTCAGGAGACTTACCGCAGTATGTTTGCTGAAACAGATACAACTCATTATTTTTAACACAGCTTTTAAATAAATCTTCATACAGTGCATTTAACATTCAGTATATCTTGCACATATTTACAAATAGGTGTGCATACAGTTGGCTAGTGCTCATTTTCTGTAGATACATGACATAAAAACTGTTGAATTCTTTATTAATGTGCTGCCTTTATGGTGCCATGGCTGCAGCGCACAACAGCTTGTAGAAAGAGATGATATTCTAGAGGTAAAAACCTGCCTATCTACCTGTGATAGCAGGAGTGTTAAGGTGTACATGGACACAACTGCCCCTAACACTAATGTAAACACACATACATTCTTTCTTTCTTTAAAAATGTCATACATTCAGTCGTGAACAGACACACAGATTAAACCTCCTAAGTGTACAAACTTTGGGGCTGAAAGTAGTGAGCACGCACACAGATGGATACTGTGGAATGTATGTTGGTCAATCTGTGGTTGAAAACACTAAGTTACGGTCTCTGCTGCTTCAAAGTTCAGTGGTTTAAAATGATCCCAAAACCATAATACCTAGCTTCCCTTTTTGTACCTGAAAACTTGTGGTGGTGGTAGGGGGGTGAGGGAGGGGCAGGTAAGATGCCTCAAGTTAAAAGAACAAATAACAATGAACATAAAGTCAGTTATAAGTCTGGGCTCTGGCTGAGCCATCATTTTATATCATCATTAGTCCTTCCTCAGTCTCTCTTTGGAAAACATGCTAACAACAGTCCAATGGATGGTTTCTTTCAGTTAGTTCCATGTTGCCAAACTTGTAGATTAAAAACACATAATTATTTTAGAGATGCACCTAGTCAAGGCATGGTCTTGGAGGAACTGTGCCTCTGGTCCTTCTCCTGTATGAAAAAATGGAACTACTCAGCTCCTTTTACTTTTTTTCAGTCTATTAGATGTGCTAGTCCAACATTTAACCGTGGACTCAGTTGGTGGCCAGTTTAGTTTTCTGTGCAGGCAGGCAGGCATTGGAAAGACAACTCTCTTATTAGACTGGTCCACCGTTGATATGTTCTTCATCAGAATGTCCAAAATGTGAGAAAAAGAGGGGAACACAGACACCAAAGCGCATTCTTGGAGCCACCGGAATGGAGGAAGACCCTGGTGTCTCCCACAGGGAGAGCCACCTGCTCGCTCAAGGCGTGGCCCAGACACAATCCTCAGCAGCTTGCTGGCAGCAGCCACACGACTATGATTCGGCTGGTATGGTGAGAGGAGCCCCAGAGGCCCAGCGAAGGAGGGAGACAGGCAGGACGACAGATGAAAGGGGCAGACAGGAACGTGGAGGAAACATTAATCGGAAGAGGATTGGAGAGATTTTGGGACTGGAGTGGAAGACTTTTTTTTTGTTCCCCTCTTCTCCGATGTGGAAACGACACAGTGTGAGGAGGAAGACAGAAGTTGACAGGACACAGAGACAGAAAGACAGACAGGCATCTTATCCTCCACCAGATCTGAAAGAGAAGTGAAATCGGAGATTGTTAACAGAACAAAGAACAAATACAGACCATTGCATTTGAAGATGTTTGAGAAATGGAAGTTTTTCTGCTTTACAATGTTAACAAACATTTTATGGAATTGGGGACAGGGATGAGGATTTTTTTAATTTTTTTTTAGCAAGAATTGAAATGGATGTTTTGTGATCCTTATCCACCGATTGCATATCACATGATCATGGTCCTACAAGGTTATACCTTCCTCTTCGAATGTTCCTGCATCCCGTGGGCACACATTGAGAGAAAAGACAGACTGTCAAGACATATCAACAACAATAGAAACAATTACAAATGACAAATTATGACTAACAAGCTACACTGCTTTTTTGAAGCATGGCATGAAGCTGATCATTTTACATTACTACTTGCATAAAATTTAAAAGGACAAATAAGCAATAAAAGTATAAATGCACAAAGAAAAGATTCATTACCAGTAAGAATTGTTAAAACTAGCATAATATGGCTTTAATATGAAATGTGGGCATACAATCTGAATCCACATTTGAATCATTATCTTCCATGTTGGACTGGCTGTACTCAGTTGAGTTTTTACCACAGACTTTAGAACAAAAACATGAATCAAACAATGACTCAGTCAGTAGTTCAATCCAATATTCATCTACAAATTCTCTCCAAAATCTTTGTTGCCAGATTATAGTGATGGCATCACATGCAGCAGGTCTACAGTAGTCATGTTACTGACCCTCTCAGCCAGAGAGTGTGACAAAGCGCTACACCAGAAACTATTACACCCACCCTCTAAGCCAGAGGTCTGACTAGGAAGAAACACTTCCTGCTTACAGCTCATGCACACATGCACAGACACTTACCTCTGGCCCTAAAAGGGCTGCCTACATGCTAGTTATTCAAATATTGCTTTTAATTTTTCATTAACAGGGCTTTCCATCAGCCACAGTTATCTTATGCATCTAACTGTGAGTAAGTATGAGCAGCCCTTTTAGGTCACAGTATAAGGAGTGACAGTAGCAAGCATGCACAGGTGGAACAGTGCAGAAGAAGCACTTCAGTGAGGGCGTTTGGGGTTAGGATGCTGCCAACAGGATAATGCAGGCTAAAAGAGCACCAAAGGTAAACATATTTCAAAAAGGGTGTTTATGATTATCCACTGTAAACATTACACTGATTCATAAATCTCTAGACTTAAGGGAAGTGCTGCAGTTGTTCCTGGCAGATTAACATCCCGGTCTTGCCTTGTCATTATGATAAAAAAAATTGGGTTGTAGTAGAGGGAGGGGAAGGAAAGGTGCAGGATGGAGCTCAGGGTTGATCAATTCGTTCAAAGAAAACACGGTTTGATGTTTCGTATTTTAACGGCATGAGTAGTTTGAGCATTAGCATGGTCGAGCTCAGACTCGACTCCCCATTTCCCTTCCGAGTTGCAAACAACTTTTCAAAGAGGTGAGAGTGGCAGGGGCGGGGGTTCCTTTAGGTAGAAGCAGACAGGTACACAAAGGCATGCCAGAACTCTTACTTAAATCCCCATCCTGTTCCCCCTAGGACTATAGCTGCCAGGAGAATAGCACCTGCGATGGACCCTATTATGATATTGGTGCCACTGGGACCTGCGCAGAGGAAGGAGTAGGGAGGAAGGGTGCGGAGGAGGAGGAGGAGGAGGAGGAGGAGGAGGAGGGGCAGAAACAAAACAACACCACTAAAAAACACACGTCAGAGGACAGCATCAACACTGTACATCAACAACATCAACTAGAGAGAGAGAGTGAGAGAGAGGCAGATGGTAAGATACCTGCAGACAGAGAGAGAGAGAGATGGAGGGAAAGAGAAGGAAACCAGCACGTGGGGTGGAGGTGGGACAACGGGCGGGTGAGCAAGGGAGGTCAGGGAGACAACAGTTACAAAAAAAAACAAAGGAGAGAGAGTTTTATTACTTTGTTCTCATTCCCCCTCTCCTGCTCTTTCAGCTGGACACCCTCTTGCTCAGGGTGGCTTTGGCTTTTTTGGCCCTATGAGAGCAGCTGCTCAATTGCTCTGTGTCATTGGCAGACTGCAAGAAAGTAAGGAAGACACTTGAAGATGACAGTGCCTGCAAGACATACAGTAAACACACATACACACTCACATACTTTACACGCACATATGCTCTAATGGATAAACGTGTCTCAACACACACCCACACTCTTCCAACATTGAAACCAAGACTCAGCAGGAAGAAAAACACTGTGTGGTCTAAATATTGACGTTCTCACAAAAATCAGGTGAACTACTCTTTGTATTTAAGGACAATATCTTGTACTCTGCTTCAGTACATAAAGAAGCTACAGTGATGATGGGTAGAGACTATGAGGGGGATATGAGAGGCAGACAGAAAAGAGAGACGTGGGCAGCTCGAGAGGTGCTATGGACCTTTCTTCTCCGGGCCCGTTGGGACTGTTGGCTCGGGGATGGGATCAAAGACACTGCAGTCCTTCCCTGTGTAGTCCCTGTCACAGATACACTTCACCTCGTTACTGCAGGTCTACAAGAGAGAAAGATAAAAACTTCAGTGCAACAGCCACTAAAAGAAAGAGACAAGCAGAGAAAGACGTGCAGCCAGTGAGCCTGGATTATAGACGTCCAAGACGTCTGTGAATTCAGGTTAAAACTTTGCTGAATTTGAATTATAAAGTCTTGTATAGCTTTTTAGACATCTTGCTGAGATAAAGCCATTTTTCAACCAACAGTCTTTGTCCACTATTAGATAGAGCGGAACAATCTAATGTAATCCAACACAACTGGTCGTAGTTGGCAGGTCTTTCTAATATTCTGCCCCCTAATGTATATAAATAGGACACACAAACTTTGAAATACCTCAATATAATATAATCCAGTGCAATACCACCTTTAACTATGAGCTCAGTAATAAACATACAGCTGTATTTTCAATGATGTCATCAAATATTGTGAGCTTTGTAAAGATATATATTAGGGCAAGGTTGTTGTGTTGGATAGCATTAGCTACAGGTGTCTGAAAAACGTTCTCTTGTTAATGTCTAGACGTCTTTGACTTGCAAATCACAAAATCGATGCTTGCTGGGAATTTTGATTTTACCCCGTGGTCAGAACAGATGTGTCCAAAATTGGATCCCGAACAGGTGCTGAGGTTAAATGCCGCCACAGGGAGGCAGCGTCGCTCCAAACACATCATGTTGGGACCACAAGGAGTGCCATCCTCCACATAGCCCAGGTCTGAGCCGTCCTCCAGCAGAGCATGGCCACCTCTGAGTGAAGCACCCAAACATGTCAGACATGTCAAGGAAAGAACTTCATAATTTAGGGACACAATATTCTAGTTTTCACACTGTTAGTTGTAGCAGATCACATGGATGGGACCCATTTACCTGCAGTCTAGGTACTTGTTCTGGTGGTAGAGGGTGAAGCTGGTCACCTCACCCTGCAGGTCTCCAAACTTTGGCTTAATTGTCACGTTGGCACAGAAGAGGAAGCCACATAAAACATCCCTACACAGGTGAAAGCAGAAAAAACATGTATTGCCCATATACAGCACTAAATTATACAAATAATAATTGATAGTTTTGGCCTTTTCATATTTGCTGAAAATTATAAAAAACAAAGCCAGCTTTATCATCTAAATTCAGGAAAGCTTCAAACCTGAACAGTGCAATATCTGCACAAAATGCAGTTCAGGTACCACGTTTTTGCACAAAAAGCAGAATGGAGTGAACATGCTTTTATTCTTTCATGAGAATATCAGCAAGGGGAATCAGGATGGTGTGACTCACGGCTTGTTGCATTGCAGCCAGCCCTGACCTTCAGGACCTGGACCACAGTTGCCTTTCTCTGTCCCTTCAGCGTTTAGCTTCTCATAACAAAACCTGTCTGCTGAATCTGACACAGATACACATATATATACATTATACACAGTAATATGACTAGATAACATTCCATTTCCAGGTGCAAGATGCATGTTTGCTATACTTACTATAACCCCAGAGTACCCTACACTGTCCATCACGAGTCCTGCATCGTCCACCGTAACAGCGGCCCTGAAGAAATGAGACAACAGCAATCAAGCATACCTTTGTAAGAGTGAGCTGCAGATGAGAAAACATGCCACAAACCAGCCCTTACCTGACTGTTATCACATATGTAGCCATCTAGCTTGTGGACATTATGAGGGCACTGCAAAAGAAGAAAAGTACATGATGTTCCGGATACTTAATCTTGCAGTTAAGACGCAGTTTTTTTTGTTACATTTGGTTGACTCTACCTGGCTGGAATCCCCGGTGCAGGTCTCTGGGATATCACAGTCATTCACAGCATCTCTACATACCACACCTCTCCGCTCATACTAGGTCACAGGATGAAAACGAATCAGGTAAATTCTTGATAAGTCAGTAATCATACAGCTGATTTCCAATGCATGTCAACGCATCTTACTGAAAAGTCTGAAAATGTCAAGATAAATAACATAACACTTTTAGCATTTTACTGCATTCAGTTTAACTTCTCACAGTTTTTATGATCAATATTCAATTCAATTCAATTTTATTTGTATAGCGCCAATTCATAACAGAAGTTATCTCAGGACACTTTTCAAATAGAGCAGGTCTAGACCGAACTCTTTAAAACATTAATTACAGAGACCCAACAGTACCACCATGAGCAAGCACTTGGCGTAAAGGGCAAGGAAAAACTGCCTGTTAAAGGCAGAAACCTATATCATACTGGGACACATCCCATGAATCCTTTAACACCAAGATGAAGGTTGAAGAGATTTATCTCTTGACAAACATCTCACCTCTAGAACTAATTTCTTATTAGCAAGCATGATGAGCAAAATTTCAGAAACTGGATGTGTTATTTGACCCAAAAAACTTTTCTTATCATAACAGCATTTTATTTTTTTCAAATTCCCTATTTGCAAACCTAATCATTAATGAAAAATCACAACAGACATACATGTTTTGGCATAGCACTCGTTCATTGTTAAATAACTAAATAACATTATCTTATATAAAGATTATAAAACCATTTAGTTCATTTTTTTGACTCCTTTATATATAGGTGGACTCACCTTGCAGCCACTGCAGCAGAGTCCGTTACTGCACATGGCATCATGGGTAAGAGTGCACTTTTTACAGCAGGCTCCTCCATTACGAGCACACTCCTGCAGCCACAGACATGAAAACAACCCTTCAGCTCTGTTCCAGCAAAACACCATACCCTCCGGTGCTCATAAAGAAACAGAAGGTGCTACCCATCTGCAGAAGGTTAAAGAGCTGGTTTTCATACATGATGTCCATCTGGGTACTCACCACCTGGGATCCACAGTCACACTCTTCCCCTGGCTCCACAAAACCATTCCCACACTCTGGAGGGTCCAACAGCTGAGAGAGGCAGAGAGGGACATATATGAGCATATATATTATAAGTGGGACACAGATGGACGAGAGATAAAATGTGTCAGTAATATAGGAGATCATTGGCTAGAAGTACACTGATTCAAAGATAGGGGTATTACTTAAATGAAGTAAACAAAAATATAATATGGTTCTGTAAGTAAATATGTGCTGTGAGTGAAATAAATCATCATATCATGTAATTTAATTAATCTATAAATAATGATGCTCAGGTGCAGCGCCTCTCAACACATTCTATATCCCCACATGGCCCATACCTTGTTGGGCTTGTTGAAGAGGCAGCTCCCGCCCCCCTGGAGCAAGAACTGGATGTACTCATCAACACTGCAGCGAGAAAACTTTCTGGGCAGATAGTATCTGCGTTCACAAATACACACACAAAAAAATTTAAGACCAGAACATGACAAAAAAATAAAATAAAAAAACAACATAATGCTTTTCTGCCAGTAATGAATGCCAGATCCACCGTGGGTGTCTGAGCTATCACTTTGCAATCTTAAAGAAATGTAACCATCTGTAGTAGGATTATACTCAAATGAATAATTGAAATCTGTATTAGGAGAGCCAAATCCAAATCAATGTTTAATTCTTACATGGTGGTTGGCACACTGGTGTCTGATGTTTCAACAAATTTGCTTAAAGCATCAAATACAAGCTGTGATTATCACCAGCTTGGCTCACTGAAGACTGAGTAAAAGTCAATGCATCCCTCTGATACAGGTGTTTAATTGTCTAATTGAGTGAAATGAACGGAAAAAATCACAGCTTCGAGGGAGCGTGACAGGGAAATAGTTCTTCTGCCTGCTGTTAAATTGTGTCAACAAACACACATTTTACAGGTGTGTTGTGTTTTTTGTTGTTGTTCACTTTAGTGTGCTGCAATGTAGATCTTTACCCTGTGTCTTCCATGATGCAGCCCAGCCAGGCATCTGGGCACCTGCAGTCTCCTGTAAAGAAGACAAGGAGTTGGAACTGACTCAAATAAATAACTGAAAAAACTAATGTGATCAGCAGTCAGAGTCTCTAGAAAAAGATTCATGATTGACAAAGAATAAAAGACTTTTCATAGAACTGATACCTAGTGACAGAGGTATGGAGCTTATATGCACTGAGCTCTTGTCCTGGCATTGAATAATGGACCTGATGGCTCTTCAACATTAATCACTGAGCCCATTGTTCAGTGGCAGCAATGCTCTAACTACCACCCCCCCCTTCATGGATGCAGGTGACTAATCACCTAATGGAGAAGTCTAATTACAGAAGAGAACCACTGGACAGGGATAACAACACCAAACACTCTCACCTCCCTCCACCGCTCCACCCGGCTATAAATCCCATTCCTCACCTATCATCCACTGCCTCGAACCTTCCCACACTCATCTTGCTCTCTTGTTTTATAGATACTCTCCATCCTCACCACTGCATTATTAGGCTTTCATGTTGTCTTTTACCTGCAGAGTTGCGTGCGTTGTTCCACCTCATGCCGATGTTCTGGCCAAGACTCTGGCACAAAGTGATGGCCATTGCACCAACATTCCCATACTGGAACAAATACAATACAAAACACAGAGAATCCACACAGGAGAGCTTTATTGTGAGACAGGTACAACAATGATAGAAAATCCTACAGTTCATTTGGGTTGCACCAAACAGGATGTACTTAAAACCAGGAAAAACTAGCCTGGCTCTGTCCCAAAGTAACAAAATCGTAATACAAAATTGTTTAAATGAATCCCTGTTGGTGCAACGGAATTATAATTTTTTTTCCTCACCTCGTTGATACCTCCTCCCCTTGTGGGAGAGCACACTCCTCCTGTGTAGGCCGTCCCACTTCGGCTACTGTGAAATGTTCGCCCTCTGAGGTGCACAGGAAAGATACCATAATTTAAAATAAAACCTCACTAGGATGCAAACATTAAATCATTCTCTAGTTATTGGATTTTTTTTTTTCCTCTTACGAGAAAAGCTGGACGACGTCACTCTGCTCTTTGATGTTGTCCTTCTTGTATTTCATGAAGTTCTGCAGTGTTATCAATGGATCTTCCACTACTGGCATCATATTTTTAGAGGTCCAGGTCTCCATGGCAACCAGCACGATCCTCGTGTTCAGCTGTTCCTTGTAGATCTGGGGACCAAAAATGCCCATCAGTCTACTGCTTTGTTGGCTTGACACCTGTGCTGTGAACACTTTGTGGCATGGAGAACTGCGTGCTTTCTGGGTTAAATCATTCCCAAATGTGAAAATAAGCACACACACACACACACACACACACACACACACTTCTTGGCAGGTGGCAGGGTGTGTATATGCAGAGTTTAGGAGTAGGAGGATTATAATCCTACAAACAAAGCTCTTACCGCATCTGCCATGTTGACCACTGCTTTGGCAAAGTTCTTGGCTTGGCTGCTAGAGCGACGCAGCTGTACAAACTGTGGAGACACAGAGATACACAGATGGTGTAAGAGATGGATCACATTCACTCTCTCTCACACACACGATTGTACTTTCATAGTTGTAAGGATCTTGAGACTACGGCATAAATTCATAGGAATGTTTCACTGATTTTATTTCCACAATTTACTTAGGGATTACTAAGGCAACTTTCTTCCTTTTTGTTTAAATAGGATTGGACATGATATAAATTATGCAGTGCACTTTATGCATCATTGATCATACTCCCCTCAAATAAAAAGTTAAACAATGCTAGCCTTGATTAAATCAATCTCAATTAGCATTCATCCACATACTCTTTACTTTCTGTAAAGCCTGTTTTTATAAACTCTTGTGTTGGTGTTAGTAGGTACAGCATCAACGTTTGATCGAACAGTAAAATTTATTTAATAAATATATTACTATATATGACACAACTGACATAAAGTTCTTAAGTACAAAGATAATAAATGTTATAGAAAACCAGATTAACAGTTTGACTACACATTAAAACCACTAAGGGCGTTGGTGTGATTATTCAGTGTATCCAGCAGCTACTTTAAAATTTTTTTTTAGAGATAGAGTACACATTTTCTCCCATGCCAATTTGTCTGCATCTTAGAAGAGTAACATTATGCAACTTGTCTACTTTAAAATAACAGCTTCGGTCATTTGATGCAACACTTGAGTTGTAATAGGATGAATGGTGGCCCTGTCATTCCCAGTATGCGCCCCCCTACACCTGTTCATGCATGTAACTTCGTGGTCCGGGTCGGAACAAGTGCATGTCGCTTTACAGCAGCAGTCACACACCACCAACTGGATCATATTTTGTGGGGAAAATGTTTTCTGGTTTCTGGCTCTGAACAGAAAGCTTTACTAGTTGCTAAAGTAAGTTAATTGCTAAGCTAGTTATCAAGTGTACAGCTGTCCATATTTACAACAGTGGTATTGCTCTCTGAAACTGTGGGCACCAAATCCCAACAAATACCAAATCTTACATAACGTTGCCTTAACACCAGGATTAAAAACCACTGTGGTCTCAAGCCTCTTGCACCATCTGACTGTTGGGTGTGGTCAGAAGTGTGCTCTGTTGCACCTGTAACCACACCTGACAGTGACGTCATAAGGTCCTGGAGTACACCTGTGCATCACTGCAGGCAGGTGAGAATTTAAACATCTGGTCAGCAAAAAACAAGATTTTCTTGGGTAGTTTTAATTTATCAGAGCTTTAATTGTGCAGCAGCAACTATAGCAATAGAACCTATTATGTTTGTGTGTGGCCAACTACATAACATTTTATTTGGTGAGGTTATGATGGCTGGACGTATTTAGTGTAGCTCCTACATGTATGTTGTTTTTAGTGTCAGTATAGTGATCGTTTTTTAACTAGCCCCTCTCCCAGCACTCCAAATGTAGCCTTTAATTTCATGCGTTGGAGAAGCAAACATGAAAACAACCAAGTTAACACACACTAGGCTGGTAGATGGTTAACCACACAAACCATGCTAGTAGATCTAGCCTCTATAACTCTAATTTCTCTGGACAACAAAGACCACCAGCACAGACATCGGATATCCACACAGTTAGCAGCAAACTCACCATTTCGTTGTCGTTGACCACCATCAACTCAATATATTTAGTCTCAGTCTGGACAGAGGGCTTGCGAACAGATCTCTTGGATCGCCTCACCCCCCCAGGCACCTGCTGCTCCCTCATTTGGTCCGGCCTGTCGTCATCACCATCACCTCCTCTGCTTTCCCACTCACTGTCCTCTGTACAGTCTGGACACATAGAGAAGCAGAGCTGCAGGCAGTTAGAGCACTTTTTGTTCTTGTACTGTAAGGTGCAGTTTAAACATTACTTTCTCAATTTCAGTCAAACATTACAGTTCCCAATCAAAAAGGCTGTGGCTTTAATTATCGCCCTGTCTGAACTAACAAAAAATTACTTCCCATTCAATTATCACATTTGAATTGTCCTCTCTCATCGGTGTGATTTTTTTTTTTCTGATTTCATTAAGAAACGAAAGATGAACATGAAAAAAAGTACAATTCCCTGTGTGAGAGGTTTATTGGACAGTAACATTAGCAGTATCCAAAACAGTGGATAGGAAGACTAAAAGGCAGTATTAGTCTGATGTGATATAAGGGTGAGCTTATGCTTTAAATGCTCTTATGTACCTGGGCAGTGGAAGGGAAGTTTGATATCGAGGATCCTGTGGATTAAGTGCGCACCATCATCCTATAATAGAATACATCCAGATGACATTAGACACATTAAGACCCCAAAACAACTGACAACTAACTCATTTAAATTCTCTATCATGTTAGTCAATAAAAAAAATAAAAAAAATGTTATACTATCCACTGACTATTTACCTGATTGCTCCCATTGTTAACAGGCTCAATCCCGTAAGAGAAGACGCCATCAGAGAACATGCCGCTGAGACAAAACGAGAAAAACAGTGAGATACACGGAAAGGGACAGAAAACTTAAAGATTAAGCTGGAATTATGTCTGCCTGATCAGCATGCACAGGTCACTGTGATTTTATAAATAAAGATTTACTGTAAGGCTCACCACAGGCCATGGCAGGTGGAGAGAGCTGCCCAGGACTCTGGTAAACCTCTTAACCTTCCCTGGTAGTAGCAGTGCTCCCCTCCCTGTGGACACAATGCACCACTGTTTCATGATACAACCTCCACTGACACACTTCAGGCTTCAGGTATGGTGGTAGGTCAACTATGAGGAAAAAACGTCTCACAACCTCTGCATATGCGACTCCCCTCTCCCTCTTTCCTCACGATTGCATTTATGGCACAGTTTGTGACCTACTTGTGTTCTATGCTCTAGTCCACCCTACAATGGTTCACTGACAATAGATCTGGAGGTAGGCCTTTGATAAGGATCTCTTGAATAAATCCACACTCATGTTGCCCACACAGTCGACTGTATAGCACACAGGCTGCACCTTTTTAGGTGAGTAAAAAAAGGAATTGTGCTCTGCTCTTTCCTGCCCTTATAACAACCTTGACTACCACAACAGAGCCCTAGCTTTCATCTGCAGCTAACACTCCCTGAAAAGGGGGCACAGTGCTTCACGAGGTCACAGTGGTGGAGATGAACCACCAGGAAAGGTGAGAAAAGTGAGAAACACTGGTTCACCTGGATCAAATTGAGTTCAGCAGGGTGTCTCAGCCTTGCCACAAATGCTCAGGCAAACAAATGGAATGAATGGAAATAAAAGTGTTTTGACGACAGAGATCAGTCTGGTGACGCGCTGCCCTGAATGCATCACACCTGCCATGTCCAGCATCAGCATCAGAGACATCACGTGAGGCCTCCATCCAGCTGAGCGACAATCTGGCCTGACTACAGGTCTCCATGCCTTGCCCTGCAGGCCTCCTTTCCCTCACCTCTCTGGGAACAAACCGATTTTCTATGAACACACATACACCTCTAAATGCACGCCCAATATTACTCCTCTCCAATACCAAAGCTCATCTTGCCTTTGTATTAACTGGCATTTTACTCTTCATATTCCCTTCTCCTCCTCCTCCTCCTTCTCTTCCACAGGCTCTGCTCTTCCCTCCCTCTTGGTCTTCTTTCATTCTCGTCGCTGCCAAGAACTTAATGACACCGCTGAGCTAACTCGTTGCTATGGAAACAGGCTTGCGATTGGTCGGGAGGACTGAGGGAGAGTTTGGAACGATTGTGGGTGGGGACACGGAGTGCAGGCTGGGTGGGTGGGTTGGTGCTGGGGGGGGGGCAATGAATGGCACATTTGTACAGACAAAAAAACATTAGCCATCCCTTCTGGCTAGCAGAATGCAGTGACATTCCTCTGGTCTGTCAGGACAAACACACATCACATTAGATGTCAATGCTCGCATCCATTTTCCTGTATGTCTTAATTCTTTCTCTGAGCTTGTGGTTTGACACCACCGGCATCCGCTGCCTTTCTTCTTGACTGTCTGAGAAAGGACACAGCAGAGAGGCATGCATGTAACGGCTGACAGGCGAACCCACGTATGTAGAGCACACTAACATACATAATCCTAATTGTTACATGGCAGCCTACTTTTGAAGCACAGAGCACACATGGCACGTTCCATAAATAGATAAAACAGGAGGATGAGAAGAAACTGTAAAAACAAAGCCTTAAAAGATGAAAACAAACAAAAAGCATATGCTTCTAAATTCAGGCTTTAATCAAGCAGATATACATTAGTTAACCTTAGAAATATATGTATCACACATAGGAATTGTTTTATATAATAAGCTCTAGACCATGTCAGGCATCGTATCTAACAAACAAAACTTTAATTTCACTCTAATATTCACTGGCAACAACACCAGTGTAAAATGTGATAAAGTCTCAGTTTCTACAGCCAAAGAACCGATACTGCAGTAACACACTATGCTCTGGTCATCTCATTAATATGCTGCCTTCTATGTGCCAAAATACAAGTTCACTCACTAAAATCCTGTCAGTACACATCCCCAACCCACGCAAACAGTCTTACCACAGACTGTGAGGGTCTGCCATCCTGGTTAAAGTGCCGTTCCACATATTCTGAGGACAGGAGGTGACTGCAAAGAGATGGGAGATACCATAAATATCTCTGACAGCATTATCTCTATCAGCATGTAATCAAAATTGGTTTCATCAGGGATATTTTCCACTTCTTGCTTTCACATAGAATAAGTGAACATATTGACATGTGGTGTTAATAAAATCAGTGGAAGCTCATAAAAATGCAGCAGTGTGTCTCTGTGTGGGCCACATTGGTATTCCCTATCTTGTCATGTAACATAATAGAGGCGCTAAGTGCATTTGCTTAAGTGCGGGAAAATGCTAATGAGAACAGCTGCAGTAAATTAAGAGCACCTACTGATACAAGCGTGTGCAAAAAGGCAGATTGGATAATTTTGAACAGTAATACTAACTGGTTTAGCTCCAGGTCCAGAATGAAGGTCTGTCCAAAGGCTTCAACTTGGAAACAGCTCTGGGCCAAATGGACAGGCTGTAAAATAAGAAACAGTGACAGAGACAGATTTGGTAGTTGATAAATTGAAGTGTAACAAAACAACTGTAGTTAAGCACGTTACTCGGTAAAAGCCACACTGAAAGCCGTTTAGAAAAACTACCATGAATAATACAACACAATTAATAGTGTGTACGCTCTAAAAGCATCTCAGCAGCTGAAATATTATGATTGATAAAGTCTCAATTGAGCGACATTGGCTGCCAGCATTCAGACAGGCATGACTGCAGATAGCTATAGTTGTTTGAGGGCTGAACAGAAATTTTGTGATAGAGATGTATGGATTGCAGAGGTGCTTGACGAAAAGGAGGACAAGAGGAGAAAACTTTAATGGTACTGCCTATATTCAGCCATACTGTGCCAATGTCTTGAATGGACAGCTGCCAGAGCTGAGGAGGTGAGGAGACAGCAGGACCAGGAGAGAGAGAAAGACAGAGGGGGAGAAATTTACTGCAGAATAAACAGTGTGTCTCTTCAGCAGCCCTGACTGTGCCAGCATGGCTTTGATCTCAGTCTGGAGGAACCAGGCTACAGTGAATCACTGGGCTTTTACACTAACATACATCACCATCCAGGAATTATTCCCTCCAGTGAGTACGGACAACAGATTTCTTACAACTGTCTTGGAGAGGCTGAAGCATGCTGTCCATCAGTGCTCTGTCTATGTACAGTAACGTGGTTCCACAGCTTTAGGTTGGCTGCATTTGTGATCTGATCATTAAGTATGACTTAAAGGTCCAGTGTGTAACATTTAGTCTTCAGTCAGCCTTTAAACTTCACTGCAAGATGCCTCTAGATCCTACACACTGGTCCTTTAAGGTGGTTGACTCTCACCACAAGGTGCATTTGGTAGCTGATCTGGTGCTTTTGACTAGAAAACATGATCTTCCCCAGCTGTTTGTGCAGTTGTAATGCAATTATAGACCTTCTGAGCACTTCAAGGACTTCTCTTGAGTGTTGGTTTAAAAGTATAGATTTAAATTTAATTCTTGACAAAACCGTGTCACCACAAAGTCTTTTTTGTAGCTCCAGTTAAAAGCATTGAAGACCAGTAAGGCAAAAAAATCTGCCTCACCTATTTTCAATGCAGCATAATGTGACAGAAAATAAAATAAAAGTTCAGCTCATCCTTTCCTTCCCTTGTGCTTCTAAATTTATGACCTTCATTCTTAGCCTATTAAATATTTTAAAAAACAAAACTCAGCAGGTCTAGACAAGTATAGCAGCTGAAGAAGGGACTTCCGAAACCATGTCTACTTGAACAGTGTCATCATTTGTATCTTATGCTTTTACTATATGTTAAATACATACATACATACAGTATCACTCTTGGTTAAGACAGCCTCTCATCCGGGGGCAACAACATTCATTGTAACTATAATCTTCAAATGTGTGTGTAAGGCCCCTAATGTACGCTATTGTAACAATTATATGAACTACATCATATCATCAGCATGACGGGGGGCAGGGATAGGGAGTGTCTCTTGGACCATGGAGCACTTCTCACACAGGCTTGTTTCATAATTAATGGGGACATACTTCAACACACCACTGAATAATGAAGAAGTCGGGTGCTCAGCACGGCAGTCGGATGATGGGACATGATGATGGAATATTTCAGGAGGGACTAAGCTTTGTCATGTGGAGATGAGATGCAACCATTTAAGCAGCTCTTTCATAAACTGTGTATTTACTGCAATGTTTGAACAGTGCACAAAGCAGGTAAGCAGGTCAGAAGGTTTTAGTTTCAGAACTTGTTGCCAGATGTTACGACTGGAGTTTAGGTAGGAATAAATGGCAGTAAAACAACAACTTGTTTGTCTCTGGTTTCATCCAGCTGACACTGCTTCACTGTGGACATTCAAAGGGATTTTCAGTGACTAACTGGGTCAAAATCACGAGGAGCGGAGACTGCTGCAAAGATACCACCCTGCACTGTCATCCCTGGGTAGCAGGAGCTGCGTGAGCTGCAGAGAGCTAAGAGCTGCACTGTTACAGACACTGGAAAAATGAGGTTCTCATCTACAGAATAAGTCTGTCTTGGTACTGTCACACCCAAATATACCCAAAGAGATATGCTACAATGCCACCAGTAGTGAATCTTCTTTGGTTAGGATGCATGCTGAACACTAGTTTTCCTGAACTTATTGCACATTAATCTGCAGACCTGATTTTGGTCCAGAAAAGAACATTTTCTACCTGTAAAACTAATGAATACTCTGATCATACATTGCCCAGCTGGGGTAGTTTATTTATAGTCAAATTACTGTGAGATTAATTGATTCCCCATTTTGCTGGGAGATTCCTTAAACCTTGTCAAGGACCCCATGAGTGTCTCTGATCCTCAAATTAAGACAATTGGACTGACCAATGTGGAAAATAAACAGAATCTGGGATATGAGAGTGAAATTGACAAAGTTAATTAGTAGTTTAGTAATTGACATTGTTAGTTACAACTTACCGAGGTGTCCCCAGTGCTGTTCTTCACCCGGGTATCCAGGTGGTCATGAGCCATTTCCTCCTCCGACTCAATCTGCTGCACCAGCCGCTTCGGATAGGTGATCTTAGTGGCAGTGTCCCCGCTGCCCGGCCGCCCCGCCAAAGTAAACCAGTCCCACATGCCTCCATCCTGCACTGGGCTCCTGTCCGCACCTGCATGTAGTACAACAGAGACACTCACCATTGGCTCACAGGCTTGGCAAGGTAGGGACACACCTGAGCCAGTTTAAATTGCACCTGGCAATGGTGTAGTAAGCAAAGCAAATGGCAGAAGTTGATTTGAAAGTAATATTTTATTAACAAGTCACACTGTTTTTTTTCTGTTTGCTGATGGTTTGGTGACCCAATTAATGACAGTGACCAGTTAATAGCGTTTTATCAGTCACTGCTCTGTTCTAAGACATTTAGTGTACATAAACAGATTTTGATGGAAAATAATGACTATTAATTTATCATGCTTTATAGGCTCTTTAATAGACTGACGCCCATATTGACATACACACAGGGCCTATAGCTTAAAATCTCGGCCATCATCAATAACGCTGTAAAACACATTGCCTTGGTGATTGACAAGTTATATCACATTGCTTTTAGATGTTTATTGGAGAAAACATGGTTCTGGGTACGTTGGATATGGGCAGTGGGGCTGCGCTGGAAATGTGTTGATGCAGCAAATGTACCGCATCGGAGGGTGCTTTCAGGCCAGTGGGCTGCTTGGCACCGAGACCCCACTACAATAAAATCAGAGCCTACACCGGGGTTAGAAAAGTGCTGGTGCAAGGGGAAAAATTGTGGATGCAAAGGAAACGAAAAGGGTGCTCCCGCTCTCTATCCAAACCCCCCCTCTCTCTTCTCTCTCTCTTACCTGAGACTGCAAGCCTCTCGCCCACTGCAGCAAAGACCATGAAGCACCACACCGCCAGCATGATCTTCACATATTCCCCCGGATTACAACATCGAGAGCCGCAGAATTTCCCGAACCCGGCCGACGGAGGGGAGGAAAAAGACCAAAGACCGCACAGCAGAAATGATGGTGAAGCTTGAAAGGGAATCTGCTAAACATCTGACGATGCGCGTCCTGTCATCTCTCCCCCTCTCTATGTCTCCCTCTCTCTCTTTCTCTCTCTCGCCCTCTCAGCTCCGGCCAGCGCCGCTATTGAGAATTTGGATTTGCATATCAGAATGATGAAAAATTAATTACCTAAAAGGACTATGGCGGAGATGATCGATATAGGGCTAGAGATTGATCAGTGAGGAAATAGTGAGGGACGTGAGAGTGCGCGCCGCGGATGCATAGCTCCGCAAGGCTGCGCGGGCGCGTATGGGTGTATGGATGAGGTTGTATGTGTGCGTATATGCGAATCTGCGGTATGCGGAAACGAAGGGATGGGAAAGCGAAGAGGAAGGCGTTGGGTCTGCGGTGAGGAGGACACGTGGGACAGTGGTACCCTCCCTCATACCGAGCAGCCTCCTCCTCCCGTTGCCATGCAGCTCTGCGCAGAGAGGATGCGACAGCCCGGCTGCTGAGGCCGAAGAAAAGCCATAAAGGGGGATCAGGATTTAACTGTTCATTCATTTTTTTCTATGTCGGGGTATGGCAAAGGTGTGGAGAGAGAGGAGAGACACCGCAGCTGAACGCAAAAACATAATGACAAATGCATCAGAGGCCTTATAAGGTTCCTGCAGATACTCACTTTCTGTGGTAACCAACTCAAACAGTTTAGGATTTGTTTGTCATTCATATTTTTACAATCAGACTGTAATTTTGCTGTGACACTTTGCTTTCATTTTCTTCTGTGAAATATAAAATAAAGCCAATTAGAACAACTCTGGGGCTGCTGTTAAGGGACTGATAGAAACATTATTACAGACTAATTTTGATAACTTGATATCTGTTTTAGAATGAGGATTGCTAACAAATAATAAACTGATCAACATATCAAACCGTATTTTCATTTCTAAAAACGTCTGTGATGACTGAAGAGACGAAGAGTCCCCCTTTGGTATTTACAAAACTATTTTTCACTTAAGGCAACAGTGTGGCATATTGTTTATCTCACAAGGAAGCTTTTAAGGATCAACTAGCTGTAGAAAAAAAAGTTATCTCTTGAGCAACTATTGAGGTAAAGTACTTTGTGCTCCTTCTCTTGAGTGGATTCAGAAACGAGACAGATTAGTGATAAAGAAGGACATGTTCTGGACAGATAAAGCTGTTTTTCATGCATCTTCATTTGAACCAAGTGTCACACCTAACACTAGAATTCGCCATTCGTCATATAAAATACTGTAATGTCAAACAATTGTAGAAATACTCCAAAACATGATCAGTAAAACCATATTACTGGAAAGATCTACTGTAAAGGCAACACATTTAGTAGTAATGACTTAGGTGGACATGAGAGGTGTGATGTATGAATTTAATTCTAGAAAACATTGTACCAGCAGTGCTCTGTGTGTTGCTCTCTCAGCCCTTTGGCCTGCGAGGTTAGCTTCCTGGCTGCAGTTAAGTCCTCCAGCAGTCATCCAGTAACACATTGCACTAATGGAGGCACATTGTGCACCGACAGCCCCCTCTGAATATTTCATCCCCCCCCTTTGAGACCAACAGGGAGCAAGAGATGGAGGGGAGAGCAGCAGGAAGAAGAGTGCAGCATTATAGGCCAAATTTGTGCTTGTCCTGCCCCTCCTCCATAAAAATAAGGAGGCTGACATCAATTAAGTGGACTGACCTTTCTGCTGTTAATGTGAATTCAAACAACATCACCGTCAGCACCTCCATAGTACCTTTTACTAGTTTTAATTTGATAAATATAGAATGGCTGCTGATCACACAGAGCAGATGCAGCCAATTAAGTATTCAGCAGTGGTACAGAAAAACTGCAAAGTCAACTGTGAGGAGTTGGGGCTGCAGCTGGCTGTGCACATGAGTCTGTAGGATCAGTGGCTCCTGTGGGGTCTGATTATGGCTATAAAATGACAAATGCAATGACTTTAATCTACTAACTTTATTCATTTACAGCAACAATTCTCTTCTCTCACATCCCTGAGACAAAACCTATGATCACAGAGGTTGACATCTGTACCATCTTTGACTGGAGGTCCTTCCATTTCCCTATTAATCCTATATTCAAAATGAAGCAGAGACACTACAGGGGAGACACAGTGTGACTTCAGAAGTGCATTTATCTATCAACAAATGTGAACAGTGTACAGTCAGAGCCTTGTGAGGCAGAGACATACTGCCCTCTACTGTGCGAACAGCGTATTGCAGCTCCAAAAAGTTGTGTTATTTCCATCTTCATCAAGTCAGCCTGAGTTAGGACAAGTCTGAACTCCTATACAAGTATACTGTACTGAAAATAGATATACTATGGTATAGTTTAAGCCAGGCCTAATCATACGTTTATTAAACCTGGATAATAAATGGCTTTTATGTTTTTATTTTATGTACTATTCCCAATGTGATGTGCTAGAGGCCTGTCATGGGTGGATACTCATCCTTTTCTTTGGACGAGTTTCCTTATTACATTTCAGCTCTAAGTCCTGTTTTATATTGACTTCTTTTTGGTAATTTGTACTATTTATTTTTTCTCTTCGTCGTGTCCTCTGTAAACTATCTTTACAGTGTATCAAGTGCTAGCCTTACTCTTATTCATCACTGACAGGCAACAACTGTCTGACTTTGAGTGGTTTGTACATATGTTGACTTGCACGTGTTGCACATTTGTTTTCACGCAGTTGAGCTTGGCAGGGCAATTAGGTTAATTACTTTCAGCTTTATTTCTTGAGAATCGTAAAGCGCTGAATCGTTGAACACTGCGGGCGACCTGACTCACCACCTGTTAACCCGACGCTGCTAATTAACCAATTAAGATCTCTCAAGAAGCTATAAGACAGGCTGACAAAAGCGGCGGCCTTTCCATTACACACTTTCGTTGGAGAAGTGTTCGGATATCGAGGAAAATGAACGGTGTGAGCAGTGGGAAAGCTGTCCGCGTCCCGCAGCTGTGTAGCTGCGTCCACCCGAACTGTGGAGCGACTTTCACCAGACAGTGGAGGCTGAAAGAGCATGAGACGGTGCACACCGGAGCGGTAAGGACAATGTTTAAATTTGGAGAAAGGAAGGCTTTACGAAAATACTGCATTAATTAAAGGTACGTAATACAGATGTAATACTTTTACCAAATGTCCACAGCGCCCGTGCCAGTGCACAATTGCTGGCTGTGGTCGTCGTTTCTCAAGAAAATCGCACCTGAGCCGCCACATGCTTCAGCACAGAGGGGTGAAGCAATTCAAGTAAGTCACAAAGCCACATTTGTACCGTTGCTCCTCTGTTACGACCTAGTTTTACCTTTGCTTCCTGCAGATGCAAGTTTGCGAGCTGCACGCAGAGTTTCCTGGACTCAGGCAAACTGAAGAGACACGTGCGCTACGCCCACGGAGACAAACTGAAGTATTTCAAGGTTTGTTGTAATACACAAATGTGTCCACGAGATGGCGCCAAAACGCCACATTGTATCGCCTGAGAGTCCCTGCACTTGACGTTGAATAACAATTTTCAAATCTTCTCTTTTTAACCACTTGAATTTTTTTCTCCCACAGTGTAGCCAGCCACACTGCTCCTTGACTTTCAAAAAGCGCAGAACGTTTAAACTGCACTTACAGGAGCATGAATTGTCTTCCAAGTTCAAGTATGTCTGTAGTACAACATTGTCTCTCAGAAAACATGGCATTTAGTGTAAAACCTTGTGTTAAATCACTCTAGCTTTGTCCTGTGGCTTAATGAAATCCCTACGATCAGATCCAGATGAGACTATCGAAGATTATGCACTTGCTATTTTAATTAATCAGATCTCTGATGTCTAGAGTGAAGGCTCTAGCAGGAGATAAATGAGTGGTTACAGGCTGAGTGGGTGTGGCCCCAGTGACTTAGTTAAATTTATTTTTATCTCTGCCTGTCCCTGGTGGGGTACTTAGGTGTTCGAAGGACGGATGCGCTGCCACATTCGACTCCCATATCGCTCGCAAAGCCCATGAGAAGAAGCACGCAGGTTGGTCTGTTTTAATCATAGTTAAGATCCTTTCATCTTCCATCCCTGTTGAACTCCTTCATTAAAAGGGGGATGTGGCTGCATTTGCATGTAACCTTTTCTTGCCTCCAAGAAAATTATTTCAGGGCAAATCTCATGCATGGTATAGAGTTCAAAGGGGCCCAGAAGGGAGCCAACTGATGATCTTTGATTCTCTGATAAACTCACTGGCCTTGCTGTTTGGTTCCTGTAGGTTACCGCTGCCCTCATGCTAACTGTCAGGTGCTGGAACACACCTGGGGGAAACTTCATAAGCATATGGTAAAACATCCAGGTAAATATGTTGTGGCCATAGTACAAAATGGCTGAAATCTATCCCTTTTTTGTTTGCTTTTGTTTTTCACTTTTAAAAAATATGTTGTAGCCACATTCACGTGCAAAGCGTGCAAGAAGGTGTTCAAGAAAGGGGATGCTCTGCGGCGTCACAAACGGATCCACGCTTCCCATAAACCAGTCCTGGTTTGCCCCAGAGATGACTGCCAGGCCTACTTCTCTACAACCTTTAACCTGCAGCACCACATCCGCAAGGTGCACCTCGAGCTCTTAAAATATAGATGCTCCTTCCCCGACTGCCCACGCATGTTTGCCATGCGGGTGAGTTCCAGATGTAATAATACTGGTTCTTGTAAGGAGTTTTTTTTTCTTTGCATTTAAAGATTTTAAAATTGTGTTTTATCTTTGTTCTATTCCACAGGAGAGTATGACCAGACACCTGCTTCGTCATGACTCAAGCGCCACCATTCTGAAGGTAAGTCTGACGTCTGTATCCCACAGTGCAGATGTGGACTACAGCCACCACACAGCAGTGAGCTAAAGCTACCTGAAGGGTCTATTGATTTTGGATTACTCTTTTTAAACCTGTTGAAAGCTGACTCCTTTGTGCTTCTGGCCAACTGAATGGAACAGTCAGCTTGAGAGGGTGGGGGGTGTACATGATTTCAATTTCGACTTTTTAAGCATTTTAGAATGACGCGTGGCTACACAGCAAGTGTAAAACCTCTCCTAAATTGTTTTTCTTATGCCAACAGAAACGTCAAAGGCCTAAGAAGTCCTGGCAGAAGCGTTTGGATGGACAAAATCTGCCACTTGTGGAAGAAAACTTGCGCCGTCTCTTTGCCCTGCGTATGCGGATCTCCCGACGTGCCAAAGTGGAAACCAACCTCTCAGGCCTCTTCAATGAACGCAAGATCCCTCATTATGTTGACCCAGAAGTCAACCTGCGCAATCTGTTTGGTATCAAAAAGCCTCGTCCTGTGGAGGCGAAGCCTGAAGTTGCACCAGTAGAAAGTTAAATAAAAATCCATCCAGCATAGATGTGGATTTTGACCTAAGTTTGAACTTCCTGAAATCTTGGCAGGCTGAAGTTGGACTTTAATTTTTGAGAAATTAGAAATTGGGTCTGTTTGGTTTGTGTTTTAATGTAGTAGACGTACATTAAATTATTATTTTCAAAATAATTTATTAGAATCAAGCGTTTGAGAATTTCAAAAACTGAATTCTAGTTCTGGAAGACAAATGTCTTAATTGAAATGCTTATTTTGTAAATTTGCACTTGTTGACCCAATAAAATGATTTACATTTTGATCAAAATGTTCTATTTTAATGCTGTTTCACCTTCTATTCTGGTGTCTATATAAACACGGTTGGATGTCTGCCCATCAGTAGCAGCTGCTGGAGTAGCATCTCCAGAACTAAGATTTGTTTGTTCAGTCTCATTTAATTGCAGTGGACAGAGCATATCATTGTTGGTACACTCAAACAGCTGTTGTCCTCAGCGTCTATCTTTTGTGCTTGCTTTGGCTTCACATATTGGTTGACATTTGCTGAACATGTTGGAGCTCATTAAATATGAACAAAGAACTGCACATGAGTAAGAGCTGAGTCACAGAAAGCATGTCACTTTGTGGGTGGATGAGACTTTGAACACAAAGTAGACAAGTATCAGCTGTCAAATCTGTTCAACTGAGGTTGAGCTGCTGTGGTTTAGATTTTAGGCTCATGAACATTTACACTAAAGGGGATGATGATCCTAGTGTGTAATGTAAGTATATTTTACCACTACCAACAGGCTTTCTAGGTTTTCATTATTAGTCCATTATCATTTAGTTTATAATGGTGGGTTTCTGCTTTTTGTTGGTTAATTAAGGTACCATGACATCCAGCGTTTATCTCAGTTCTGAATAATTTTACTTAAGGGGTTCCTCCTAATATGGATCACAGCCTCATAAAGACTACAATAAAAGATACCTGACAGGACAGATAATGAAGCAGAATCTCCATGTAAATAAAATAGTTTTATGCCATCTTTATTCACAGGAATTTTAAGTTAACTAACTTTAAGATATCAGTGTTTTCCTTTTCAAAACAAGTATAAATACATTTATGCTGAAGTCTCTACAGACTACAGAAATATCTCTAGGGGAAGACAGTCCTGATATTGCAGGGAACAAAATATACCCAATTATCTAAAAAGAATAATAGGATACATTGTGATAGTAAATGTTTAAAAAATGACACTCACTGCTTTGAACTTGAACCATATAAGTTAAACTTTGTACATTAGCTTGCAGGCCTTCCTTGACAGGTATCCTGACCGAGATTTGTGTAATAGTGTAAAGAAGAGGTTGCAGTATAAATTACTGTTATATATAAAAAGCCAGAAGATCGTTAATCCAGTTTCGCTAAACCCAAGGTGACATCTTCAAATGTTTTGTAGTCTAAAACAGATAATCTGAAACTGGAGTTTTTTGCTTAAAACGTAACTTGATTCAAATTGACAAACTATTGCAGCTTTAGTTAGTGGCCAGGACTGAAAAATAAACAAGCCTGTAAAGTAAAGCTGGATGTGTCACATTTGCTGCCACTTAGATAGGGGATGGAAAAATGTTTTGATGGAAGTTTTATTACAGCCGATTCTGACACTTTTTAGAAGTTAGAAATGACCCTGTAGTTTTACATTTTTAAAAAAAGGGTTTCAGAATGTAAAAGGTTCCTTTTTGTTTCAAGAGTTGTTAAATGTCTCCTTTTTGTGTTAAACATTATTTTCTCCTGGTCCACTGGAGCAAGGCAGAGTCTATTTCAAATCTTCAGCTAATCTCGGTAACAGCTTGTCATTTTGAGTTTGGCCACTTTCTTCACTGCTGTGTTTTCCTATGCTCTGTCGAAGGTCATTCTCTTGGCTTTGCAGCCTCAGGCTTACTTCCTTCCTATACTAGCTGCTGCTCTGCCTCTTTGAGTCCCATACATTAACCTATCCTACAACAGCTGACCTGCAAGCTCTGTCAAATTGGAGTAAAACACATGGTTCAACAGCTGACAGTGTCTATTACATCCATAATTACCTTACTTGTAGTTATTATATATCTCATTCCTTGGTAAATGTCATTTACAAAGTGCAGATAAAAGCATCAATCAGACCCTGAATGCCTCTTAAAATTGTGATATTGCTTTGGATGTGTACCGAGGCTTTCAAAGTCAGCACGTCTTCCCTGAGAAGGAATTTGAAAGGATGGTCTTGTTTCTATGGTGATGCAACACAGTAAACTTAAATCTTTGCTTTCTAAATCTGTTGTTCCCTATCTTGTCAGTAGGGTTTTTAGAACAAATGAGATCGTTTGCAGGTGTTTAACAGGTGTGGAAAGTACTCAAGTGATTAGATGTCCCTTGTTGTTGTGAACAGAGTTGATAATTGTTTTCCACTGGTGCAACAAAGTCCCATAAGAGAACTGACGCTGCTTGGTGTCATAGGAGCCGAATGCTGGACTCATACCAGCAACACTATCAAACTGAATCACATACGGCTAACCACAACCTTACCCTCACCCTCTGGCTCTCTGGAAAGGCCATGCCAATTATCCACATAGTGAGCATGACCTTTGGTGTAACATGCTGAGCTTGATTTTTTGCAACATGTGCATCACTGAGCAGCACAAAGGAAAAGTCACAACAATACCATCACAGCAAGGGAGGCTGGGACACTCATTCCACATTCATGATTGCCTGATTAGCTCCAAGAAAACATTTAATAGGTAGAGGATTTCAGTAGTTTTATTAATAATGCCATGTATTAAATGTGAGATGTTTTGTTGGCCCTCCGTGTTATAAACTGTCCTAACGACTGTAGCAGAAGTTTGACAGTGCTGAAAGTTGTTTAATCCAAGTCAAGTCAATCTTCACTGCAATCAACAGTGAACATCTGTGATGCCAAAGCTGTAATGGGCTTTGGCTGCTAATGATGGTAGTTTATCTACAGCAATTGATAGTTTGATTAAAAAACAAACTGCTTCATCTACCCTTTGTGACTCAGGCCGAATAAATATGTTGAGTCTGTTTACATAATTCATAATTGCAGCTTTAGTTACGGGTGCATTTCCCTGGTTGTTTTGCCCTCAAAAATGCACCAAAAAAACATTTTAAAGACCTTGATCCTGTTGAGAGTAATTTTTATCCGAATGACGACAGCTTCTCGATAAATTGCTCCGACCTACAGGAACAAGTACTCACTGAGTGGCTTGACAGGCAACAAAATGATTCAACTAATGTCTCAACTACAGTAAATAACCGCACTTTTTCTTTTTACCACTAACACGACAAATAGTAACATGAGAGCTCTATCTCTGCAATATTTTTACAGATCTGCCAGGAAACAACGGAGATCGTGCCTTGCAGTTGTAACTATGTACAAAAAAAACCCATTGCATTACATTTATTTGACTGATGCTTTTGTGCTGAGTTAAATTAACTGCATCAACCTCCATAGGAACAATAAATGTCAACAATAATCTTAAGTGCACCACCCGAACAAACGAATAAGAGGACATTTTTGATAACTGACTGCAGGAAAGCAGATACAATGATAACAATACAGTAGAGCCATAATAAATACTACTAAGTAGTTTGTGGTCTTGTTTTTCTTGTTTTTTTTACCCTTTAAACAACTTAAAAAGAATCCTTCATTACACACAGGAGACAGTTTTCTAATTTGAGTAGTAACCCACATCTCTCTTTTACATTCTCATTCGCAGAACGTACAGTGAAAAAAAACAGGCAGTCAAAGAGGAAGAAAAACGTTGCTTCAGAAAATCCCAAAACAAGGAGAAAAATTGAAGTAGGTTAACCATACAGCCGTCATGCCCTGATTTAGCCTGCTTCCTCCAGAATAGATGACCCAAAACCTCTTCTCCCCTCCCTTTTCTCCCTTTTCCCATGGCCTTGTTTGAAGAGAGCTTTTCATAACTGTAACACCACTACATGCCAGCTGAACTGACAGGATTAACAAAATAAGAAGATAAGGAGCCTTCTGCACAGGTGTTAACATGTGCAGCTCCTCTGCCTGCATCAGAGTGTGTGGCACTCGCTCTTTGATAAATTACGCCATTAAGGAAGCTTAAACAACAGTCCAGCCAAAAATAAACCAAGTGTCACCAACTAGGGAACACTTCATTCTCTAAAATGAAAAAGGCAGATCTGACTGACTTTGTGAGTGGATTATTAATAAATGATGAAAATAATTATAATGATTTTGTTTTCAGGCGTCACCTTGAAAACAGTTGAATGAGTCTTATGAGTAAGGCCAGAACTGATGATAGAGAATCATTTTGAAGGTTGAACCTTATGTTTTGAAATGTTTCTTTGAAGCCATTGCTTCAAGAAAGAATTAACACGACTACGTCTACAGCCATGCTAGCAGCACTGTGAGGCTTTACTTAGGCACAGCGGTGCTTTGCATGCTAACATGCTCACAACAACTAACTAAATACTAACGTGCTGAGGGAATGGGAATGTCTTTCTCAGCTGTCCAAGTAGTCCATCTTCAGAGATGAAATTTCAGCTTTTAACCTCTAAATCTTTACTTAGACACAGACAAGACCTCTGAGGTCCAGTTTTATTTGAACAGTGAAATGAATCTGATGAATGTCAACACCATATTACCTGATGAATTATTCTATAAGGACATCCGCTCCAACCTGCCAAGAGACAAACACGACCTTATGGTCGAATTATCCCTATACTCTCTTCAGTCCTCGAAACTGACCTTTTGGCAAACTTAATGCATATGAGCGTGTTCAAGTGTTCATTTAATTGCCTCTTACCTCATTTAGCTTTTACTCTAGATGATTTTATATTCCTTCATTAATGTTTGAGCAGTCTGAAAGGGCCAGTTTTGCCCCCACCCCACCCTCACCTTGTTGCTTTTCTGCCTCAGTCAAAGTTAATGATGCTTTAAAACCGTGACACACATATAATGAGCTATTGAACAAAAAGCAGCAGAGACACATGAATATTAAAACAGCGTATCTTTATTTATGCTGGCAAAATTTGCTTACACAAAATAATTTGGTTCACAAAATTGGCTATCCAAGCAGGAGGTCCCAGTTCCTAGGAAACTGGAACACGCGCAGCGGTGGCCAGGACGCTGAAAGTCATCCAAAAAGGCATGGATTGATAGGGCTTGTTTTAAGACTCCTTTGACGTTGTGTCTGGAGTGTTGAATTCAGAGGACAAGCTATTCCCTCGGTTGGACAACTGGTTAATTGACTATTTTGTCGGGTACATTTGGTCTATCGGCATGACAGAGTAGATCTTGTTTT